AGGGGGGGGGGGGGGGTCGGGCAGGGATTTAGCTCAGTGGTTTTGCTGCCCGCGCATAAAAGCCTGAGTTCGATCCTCGGTACCAAAAAACAAAAAAACCCAGAGTAAACAGAAAACAAATTATCTCTGGGGCCAATGCATCAGACCAAACTGGCTAATGGTTTAGTTGGATCAACAAGGTCGATCTGACGGGGAAAAGTTATGTCATCAGCTGCACCGGCTCAATTTGCATTACTGTTAGGGATGAAAAAAGCAGCTACCATCTCCTTACAGGCCCTATGTCTAAGGGAGACTTGTGGGCATGACTTACCAATCCTTTCCCATTCACAGAACTCATCCTGGTCCATTCAAAGGCTGGTTTATGCCATCAGCAAACCTGAGGTGAAAACACAGGAAGATGAGCCCTGACCAGCTACATGGCCACAGAAGTGGGGGACAGTTGTTCAAGCTGGCATATCAGACAGAAACTGGCTTAAATAGATTAGATCAACATGGTCGATCAGTTGGGGAAAAAAGTTCATGTCATCATATATGCTAGCAGGAAACTCTTGAGAGCCCCATTAAAAGGAGTAAGATTTGCTTGGTATGCTGCCACATCTGCAAGTGCAGTCAATCTGTGTCTGGTGTCCCACTGCTGGCAATATTGCTGCAATGTCAAACACCCCTGCCTTTCAAAGTCTACACCTAATATTTCTAGTAGCCAGGGTTGTCAGGAAATAGTTGGCATTGAGTTCAGTTCTAGACAGTCGCAGTAGTTCCATTTCCACTGAAACCTGCCATAAAATAACCTGGAGCCAGGCATAATGGCACACACCTGTAATCCTAGCATTCTGGAAGGCTGAAGCAGGAAGGTAAATTCAAGCCAGACTGGACAACCTAATGACTTATCAAGACTTTCATAACAAAAACTTCCAGCTTCAGTTGCTTTTATTTTTGCATAACTTTTACAAAAATCACCAATCTTAACACGAGGCAACACATTAGCTTCCCACTAGATTTGCTGCGTGTGTGGGGCCACAGTATACTTTTGCTGAGATACCGACTCATTTGAGGCCACAGCTATCTGATGACTAAAATGAGTTACAAGGCCTGACATGTGTTCATATTATATCTTTCTCCTTTACAGGCCTAAACCTCAGGTCAGATTCTCAGTTCTATATATGGATGTATTCAAAAGACTAATTAACGGCTAACTTCTCATTGGTGCTAGCATGTGTTCCTACAGCTACCGCAACTCAAGTAGGTAAAATCTTTTGTCCCCATCCTAGGGCTCAGACAAGGCTGGGACATTAGAGTAGTTTAAGACAAATCATCTGGAACCGTGCCTGGTACATACATATTACCCAACGTCGGCTCAATCCAGCAATTTAAGAACTTGTCATTTATTGTTCTGCACGCAGCTCAGTCCTTTTCTCAACTAATGTTGATTTCCCTCAGCTGAGGATCCCACTAATAGTTTTGCTTGTACAAACTTCCAGTGTCACACTCTTACTGATTCTATGTCAAGAGTCAAAGATCCCACTGGCTGGGTTATCTGGTTAGGTCAACTGAAAAACAATTGGCTTGAGAAAAATGCTAACCCATTATCCATTCCAATTTGAAAATTTACAGCCCCAAATACAAATGAAATAGGATTAAAAAAATGTGCTTTTTAAAAGTAACATTAGAATGACACAAAACACCATTCATTTGGGGCTATTTATTCTAAACCTGTTTTTTTACTAGGAACCCATATCTATTAGGTTAACAGAATTCCTTTGCAATGGCCTGGGGGAATCTAACCTATCAGTAGGGCAGATACTTAGCATACAGGAGGCTGTTTCACCCTTCCTCGGAAATTATTTACTGACATTAAATCTTATTTTTCCAAGTTTACACAGCCAACTAAGAGGGTTTCTTCAAGGCACCTTTCTTAAAACAGGCCAGAAGACAAAATGCTTACCTTGTAATTCAGGAGACCCAAGGCTGTAGATGTTTAAATGGGCCTCTCTGCCAGGCCCAGAGGTGACTCCGTACTCCCACATCCATTTTGTACTCCCCGACTGCGATAACCTACAAACAAAAAAGGTCAGCAATTGCCATCTTCCCACGGCCAAAATAACATAACTGTCTTTTGAAGCTGGTGTATCAGGAATTAACTGGCAAATATTCTTAAAGATCACCATTGTCGATCTGATGGGGAAAAAAGTGGAGTCATCATTTACACCAGCCAAGGGCTCTTCAGGCCCACGCAGAAGGTGTGAAAATTTTTCCAGCGAACTCTGAAGGCCGATTTTGGAGTCAGCTACAGAGGCCCCAACCAGCACGAAAAACCTCGTAAGGGTGAGGGCACAAATAGTTGAAAGGAGGACCAGGGCTCGCGAGCGGAAAACAGCAGAAACCTACACCTACCGCGCACAACACGTGGCTCGAGAGGCGGGAAGAAGCTCTACAAGCAAAACAAAAGACACTCACCCAAGAAGGGACCGAAGAAAAAGAACGAGAACACCCTGGAACCTCCCTTTTATAGCCACAGGCTGCTGATGCGCGTGCGCACTGGGCCTGAGGCGCTCCCTTTCCGGCCCGCGTTGATCCCTGGGAAATGTAGTCTCCATCCCGCCCAGGCCGAAGCACTCCAATGGTTGTCGGAGCCGCGCCTGGCCCCGCCCTCTTCCCCGTACACTCTGGGCCACTTGGTCTCCTCGGCCTCGCCGCCATGTCGCGCTTCACACGTACTAAGCCGCTCGCCGCGTGCCCTCGCCTCTGGGGCTGGTTGAGGCCTGCTACGGCCTTGGGTGCTGCTCATCCGCCCCCCACAGTCCCCTCCCCTCAGCCGCGCCCGCCCGAACCCTCCGGCCCCGCCGCGCGGGGGGAGCCGAGGCATCTGTAGCTCTTTCGCTCTCCCCGAGGGCGGGGACGCCGGCCGTGCCAGGGCCCGGCCCCTCGCGCCCCAGATCCCCGCTGCCTCCTCCTCCACTTCCTCCTCCTCCTCCGGGCCGTCCGCCCGGCTCCTCCCTCCGCCCAGGGTCTGCGGGGAAAGAAAAGCGAAAGTGCGCGGCGGCGGGTGGGGCCGCCGACCTCCCCGGGTCGGAGCTGAGCACTGGCCGGCGGCGACGGGGTGCAAGGACGCGCTGGAGCGCGGTGAGTGGCCCCCTCCGGTCCCCGCACCTGCCCGCCGCGGCCCCCGGCGCCCCCGCCACCCTCAGGCTCCCTAGCTCCTCTTCGTAGCGCCCCGTCACCACCCTGCGTCTCGGTCTCAACAGCCTGTCCCCTCCTCAGCTCCCGTCGTCACCCTCAGAGACCCTGTCACCTCGGCCTCCATCACCTCCCCCGAGTCCCTGCCCCCTTGTCCACAGCGCCCCTGTCCCCCTCAGCTCCGTCACCACCTTGAGTCCGAGGGTCTTGCTGCCTCTTGCCCCCTCAGCTCCCGTCATCACCCTCAATCCCTGTCCTCTTTCCTCAGTGCCCCTGTTGTCCCCAGCCGCCATCACCTCCTCCAGAGTCCCTGTCCTGTCCTCAGTGCCCTGTCGCCCCCTCAACTCCATGACCACCCTGAGTCCTTGCCCCCTCTTCCCACCTCCTGCCACCTCCTCAGTCCGCGTCATCTCCGTCAGAGTCCCTGTCCCTTTGTCCTCAGCGCCCCCTCAGCCCCTAGCATTACCCCGAGTTCCTGTCTCCTGTCCTTGGTGTCCTGTCACCCACTCATCCTTCAGCACCCCCTCACCCCCCTCAGCACTCCTGGCACCTTCAACCTCCACATCCCCCTCAAGAGTTCCTGTCTCCCCAGTGCCTCTAGCACCTCATTGCCGAACACCCCTGTCACCCCCCTCTTCTCCGTGGCTCTTTTCAGTGCCCCCTCACCTCCTCAGTGCCAGCACCTGTGCCGCGCATCTTGCACCGTCACTCAGCACCTGTCACCCACCTCTGCTTCTGGCCTCACCAACACCATCTCTGTCCCTCACCCCCATCTCTGCCCTCACATTCTACCTCAGCCACCCCTTTCATATTCCTCTGGGCTCATTCTTGCCCCATCTTCAGCATTCTCATCCTTCCTTAAGTTCCCTGTCATTTCACCAAGCACTCCCCACCTGCACCCTGCCTCATCATCTTGTTGAAGCCCCCATGCCTCTCCAATTCTGCCTCGTTCAGGGAATGGCACCTCCCTTCACAAAACTGCCACCCAGCCCTGGCTGTCCCTGAACCCTAATGTTTCATGCAAGAACTAGTGGTTCCCGGGTGCTAGTGACCCCTCTCAAGACTGGTGATTTCTCCCTGCAATCTAGGTGCTGCATCCAGCTTCAGCCTCTTTCATCTTACCCTGGTAATTATTATTTTCTTCTAATTCTCATCCCTAAACCCACTTGACCATTACTGATTTTCTTCTTCCTGGCATTTCAGTCTTGGTTTCCCAAGAAACCCACTTTTGTCTTCTTTTTTCACAGCATTTCCTATCCCAAAGCACTCTTCCCTTCCTTTCCTTTTCTAATACTTCCTTTTCCTTTCTTCTATTTCTGGGTTTCTATTTTATTTAAGTTTTTTGTTGTTGTTGTTGTTGTTGTTTTGTACCAGAGATCGAACTCGGGTCCTTGCACTTGTGAGGCAGGCAGCAGAACCACTGAGCTAAGTCCCCGGCCCCTGGGTTTCTATTTTAGTATTTTCCAAACAGAAGAAGAAGGAATTTCCCCTCAGGAAATTTAAAAAGACAAAACAAAACAACTCTAAATATTGGACTTGCACCATGAGAACAGGGTTTGATAAATTGAGAGAAAAGACTCGCCTATAACATCCCCAGAGGGGGCCAAAAGGGACTCCTTTTTCCAGTGAAGATAAAAACTGACTCTCATATCATGCTAAATCTATTCACAGTTTCTGACTATGAATATTTTAAGACAGCATGAGGACAGCCTCAAAAATCCCTTTGCTGAGGACTCTGAGTCACCTACTTTTTCCCTAGCCCCAGCCACATGATATGCATGAGTTAGATTGAAAAGTTCCCTTAAAGGGGCTTCTTACAGAGCCAGTGTCAAAAAAGTCATCAAGATGGAAGAAACAGGAAAGATTGTAGATTTCTAGCTAGTCTCAAGGAAACAGCACCCTGTAGCCTCCTAGTTATTGAAACATGTAATTTCTTTCTCTTGATTCAGAAGAGCAGAGGATTTAATCATTTGGCTGTGTTCCAAAGAGTAAGATAAAGGATAACTACTCAATAATTATTTTCAAACTATAGGGGACTGCAAGCTGTAGAGTACTATAAATAGAAATGTCAAATAGGGTGATAAATACACAGTTTTAGAGTAATAGAAATGTATTCCTTTTGTCCTGGGAACAATATTCAGTGGATCCTTGACTTACAAACTCAGTATGTTCACAAGGGCTAGTTGTAACTCAAGTTGGTCAATTGAAGGCTCAGGCTCCTCTACACAGCCTTCAAAGTCTCTCTCCTGTATACAGGGAGATCTCAGTGTCCTGAAACACTGAGATTTCTCAGTTGGACCCGGCTTTCTCACTTAACCCACACGGGAAAAGATGTAATGTTCCTTCCAGAACTCTTTAAGGGTTAAATCTGTCTGAGACCATCTGGAAGCACAAGCAGCTAGCATTTGGGTTGTGACTCAAGACTTTGATTTTAAGTCAAAACTAAAATTCCAGTTGTAACAGAAATTGTTCGCATGTCAGGCTGGTAGTAACTCAAGGGTCCACTGTTTGCCTTGTAGAAAAGGAAAATGAAACCTAACAACTGATGAAGTAACTTGGCGAAGGCATAAACCAGTTCTGTTTGAGATGTGAATTAATGACATTCCCTATACCTGAAGAAAATGCAAGAGTAAATGAACAAGAGAATTTGATCCTTTGAAATCATCTAAATTGTGAATTTAATGTTTTGTATTCTGAGTGTTAACAGAGTTGAGCACTTGTGCTCATGATTAAAACATTTAACTCTTGGCTAATAAGTCATTAAAATGTACAGGCAGAAGGACTGGTTTGATGGCCTTTGGGTTTTTCTGCAAGATGTTGTGTTTTAAGAGCACTGATAATTCTTAACCTGTGCAGTTCAGGTAATGAAAGTAACGTGAATGTACCAGAATTCAAGTGACTTAGACATGGAGGACAGAAGACCTCATCTGGAGGCCAGGCCCAGGAATCCCCATACTAACCACAGAGGTAAGTAAGGTATCCCACCTAGTAAAAAGGATATTCTGACTAATCAGAGAAGGAAATTGGGTTCCCTGTGAGTGAACAGACCCACCTGATTAAATAACTTTCAATTAAGAATGCATTACCAGGTATGGTGGCACACATCTATAAATTAGCTCCTCAGGAATTTGAGGTGGGTGGATTGCAACTTCAAGACCAGCCTGGGCAACATAGTGAGACCTTGTCTCATAAAATTAAGCTGGGCATAGTGGTGCACACTTGTAATCCTAGCATGAGAGGCTGAGACAGGAGGATAGTAATTGAGTTCGAGGCCATCTCACGTATAGCTAGACCCTGTCTCAACCAAACAAAACAAAAACCAAAATAAAAAATTAAGAAAGGGCTGGAAATGTAGCTCAGTGGTAGAGCATCCTGGGATTTTTTTTCCATGGCAGGGAGAAAAGACTTATTCCTTAGCTGTGGTTTGAATGACTGAAAAACAGAGCCTTCTCTCTCCTTTGCCTGAGAGAAGTGATGAATGAGTACAGTTCACTTGAACAAAAACAGTGATGGAGTATCAGAAATGAAAATAACTCTTGGTTTGGAACAGTGCTATCTAGTAGGAACATAATGCAAGCCAAAAATGTAATTTTTAATTTTTTAGTGGCATTTTAAAAAGTAAAAAGAGACAAATGAAACATCTTAAAAATTTAGTATTAATAAAACTTAATCTAGGGCCAGGGGTTTAGCTCAGTGGTCCCACCGCCTGCCTCAGAAGCACAAAGTCCCAAGTTCAATCCCCAGTACCAAAAATAAATAAATAAAAATAAAACTTAATCTGATGTCTTATCTAATATATCCAAAATACTATCATTATATTGTAATTGAATATACATTATATCATAGTACATTAATCATTTAATATTTTTCTTTCCCCTCAAATTTTTAAATATTAGCCACAAGTGGTAAGTGACTATATATTGAATAGAGCAAATCTAAAGTTCTAGTTATCAAATCAAAGTTCCAAAAACATTACTCTACTAAAGGAATTACTCTGTTTGCTCAAAACTTTCATTGTAAAATTTGTTTTTCTTTTTTTTGTTGTTTTTCTTTATTTATGAAACAAAAATTTTACCACAAAATGATAAGAATACCAATATTTAATACACTGTATAATTAGTGTCCTGTTTTTTCATAAGTTTGCAACATGTCTTTCAAGTTGTTTTTTTTCTGGTACCGGGGATCAAACTCCAGTCCTTGC